CCAATAAAATTGTCGGCACTTTGTAAGTATTGTTATGCTTTGTTCTCTACTTTTTATGCTTATGTATGCTTAATTTGCTGACTTATTATGGATTGCAGTGGTTACATGTCACCTGAGTATGCAATGCATGGGCAACTCTCCGTGAAGTCCGATGTCTATAGTTTCGGTGTCCTACTTCTTGAGCTCGTTAGCGGTAAGAAGAATAGTTTCTTCTACCAAGCAGATGGGGGCGAAGATTTCGCTAGCTATGTAAGTTGCACATTTTGACTATAACTAGTATGAAAATTGATGAACTAAGCAAATTTGTATGTATTGAGAATTTTTTTTTTCAACGAACTGTTTTTAGGCCTGGAAAAATTGGAGAGACGATACGCCATTGGAAGTGTTAGATCCAGCCATTGAAGACTCATATTCAAGAAATGAAGTTCTTAGATGCCTCCACATTGGTTTGCTTTGTGTTCAGGAAGATCCAATGGATAGACCCACAATGGCAGACATAGTCCTTATGTTGAGCAGCTACTCTATTACTCTTGCACAACCCTAACAACCGGCCTTCTTCCTCCGAAGCAGGACGGAGAGATCAATGAAGGATCTCGAATCGGACCAATCCACCAGTAGGTCTATTGCTGTGTCAATTAATGAGATGTCAGTCACTGAAGTTTACCCCCGGTGAACGGTGATGGAAGTGGAAGTCTTTCTTCATGATTGTCTCACGGAGACCTTGATATGAAGTATCCTTGGCGTTCCACTATTGATGAACAATTAGCAAACATCTATGTCCTGTATATCTATAAGTACAAAGTGTCTTCTCCTTGAGGCAAATCATGGTATGATCCACTAGAGTGGCATGATTTTCTCACATTACTGTTCATGATATATGATAAGGTATACCCGTTCGTACACGCACCACATTATTTTCAAGGGTTACTACTACCAAAAATCCCAAACTGGTACACGTGTGACAATTTTATCCCGTTTTGAAAAAGTGACCACAAAAAATCCCAAACTGATACATCTGTGACAATTTTACCCCTCCGGTCACTTTTGGCTAGCCGGCGATGACTTGGTAATATTTTAATTTTTTAATTTTTTTTTAATTTTTTGACTCTTTTTCTCTATTTTTTTTTATATTTTCTTCTCCGGTCGCCGGTCCGACGACCGGCCAGAGGCTGAGGCCAGCGAGGCGAAACTCGCCGGCCATGGGCAAGGTCAAGCTCGCAGATCCGGCGAGGTTAGACATCGGCAGATCCGGCAAGGTCGGGCCTCGCCTGGCCATGGCGAGGCTCGCCTTCGCCAGCAACGGTGAGGGCGAGCCTCGCCATGGCTGGGGGAGGCCCGACCTCCCCGGATCTACTGAGGTCAGGCTTCGCCCTGGCCGCCGACGAGGCTCGACCTCTCCAGATTCGGCTAGGCCGGGCCTCACCCGGCCATGGCGAGGCTCGCCTTCGCCGGCGAGGCTCGCCCTCGCCGGCGGCAGGGCCAAGTCGAGCTTGCCCGGCCATGGCAAGCTCGACCTAGCTTGGCGACGGTGAGGGCCAGCCTCGCCCATGGCCGACGAGTTCCTCTTCGCTGGCCTCAGCCTCTAGCCAGTCGCCGGTATGGTGACCGGAGAAGAAAATAGGAAAAAAAAAAGAAAGAGAGAAAAAAAAAAGTCAAAAAATAATAAAAAATTCAAAAAAAAATAAAAATATTAAAATATTGCCACGTCAGCCGGCCGGCGTCCACGTCATCGCTGGCAGGCCAAAAGTGGCCGGAGGGGTAAAATTGTCAAGGGTGTACCAGTTTGAGGCTTTTTGTTGTCACTTTTTCAAAACGGGGTAAAATTGTCACACGCGTACCAGTTTGGGGTTTTTGGTGATATTAACCCTATTTTCAACACAGTTCTTAGAAATCAAGGTCATAGACCTCACCTCTAGATATATTCCTTTGCATCACCCGCCTCTTTACTCGATTATAATGGTTGGTAGTTGATTATGATGGAAAGGCAAGCAAATTCACATGCACATTTCCTATGTCTACGTACGCAAGAATAAAGCTCTCCCTCTCTCTCTCTCACTGAGATCTAAGCCATGGCCTACGAGGAGTTAAGCTAGACGATGAGCTCCTCTATGGACGGCAGGCGCTCAAACTTCTCGCATTGAGTAGCGAGATGGGATGATGAGGGAGGGAGGGAGGGAGGGAGGGAAGGAGAAGGGAGGGAGGGAGATATTAGGCCGATGACCGGACAAGTAGTTAAATAAAAATGCATTAGTGTTATAATAGCCTATGAAAGGTTGGCATACAAAGTAATGTATAATTTGATCAACTCAGTTAACCTATTTCGTCTGAACATAACTAGATTATATAAGTCTTAACTCGTGCCATTGGATCCAATAATTTTTCGCACGTCAAGTCAAAGAAGGTTCGAATAATTTCTCGTGCGACGGGGACATCCGATCCCAGTCCATTAATCTTTGATTTTGGTGGGTCCGCCTCGGAAAGTTAATAGTTTGAAGGGTCGTAGAGCGATCTCTATCTCGCCATCGTCATCACTTGAAACTGAGATATTGGAGTTTGGTTTGGTCAAGTCCTCCCCTCAAGAAGAGAATGCAGATCACGCAATTGACCTTGTCAATGACCCCCCCGTACCATCCTCTCCGTTCATCTTGTTCTCTTTCCCCACCCGAATGTCGATGGCCTAGCCTAACCAATAAGGGGTGAGAATGGATCATTCGGAACATCCAAAGTGTATGTGTTTGGCTCTCAAATATATGTCACATTGACGTCCTAAATTTCAAAATTTGACATCTTTATCTCCCAAAGTTTTCGACTAGATTCCGGTGAGGGCGAGCCTCACCGGCTCTCGCTTGTGGCTGGTCGCTGGCCATCAAGGAGGCCAGGGACTGCACAGGAAGAAGGAAAAAAATTAAGAAAAGAAAAGAGAAAAAATGGAAAAAATATTATTAAAAATTATTCGCGTCAGCACCGGCCATGCCACGTAGGACGGCCGACGTTTATGTTAGCAATTTCTAGCCAAATTTAGCTTGATGGACTGAATTGACACAAACGCAAGAGATGTATGACTCAATTGGCAAAAAAAATTTGTTTAGAACTAAATTGGCACAATCGCAATGGGTTTATGACTTTTTTGGTAATTTTCCCAAATTATTTGCTAGAGCTTATGTGAAGTTTTATTTAAAGTGGATCTAAACTCCATCATGTAGGTTTATCCTCCAATTATAAGAAAACATGAGGCATCCATTTGTAATATGTTTTAATTTAATATAAGCAATATTTCGAGCACGTAAAATAATATGAACAACAAGAAACATGAAAAAATTTGCTCTTTTGGTTCCTCCATTTGTCGAAATCTTCACCATTGGGTTATCGATTTGGTTTGGGAAAGGCAAACAAACTATTTATGCATAATTTTCTTGAGAGTAAAATTTTCTCTACTCTTCACCATCTGCTCATTTCTATTTATAGAGATTTAGATGTGATTTCTTTAGATCATCTTCCAATTCAATGAATTTCTTTTTTATTGGTCCTGTGGAGCTCTCCTTTTCGATGTATTTAAGTTTCCTTTTTTACGAAATTACTTTCTTTTCTTTTTGTTATCCTATGACATCTATCCTTTTATTTTGGCAAAAGTTGATGAGTATCTTATCATTCATAACTGTTAAAATACACGTGTGAGTTATGTTAGAGAAATCCTACATCGGAGAATTGATATGGTGTAAAATAGTTAATTTATCAAAGTTGGCACATAATTTATTGGCGTAAGATTTTTAGTGAGGGTGGATCTAACTGGATGTATTGACGGATTCGGACTTGGGCTTGGCAGCCTCTAGGGAAGAAAGTGCACGTTTGAGATTTAAGTTGAGATAAATTGATGTAGAAGGCCTCCAGGGATGAAAGTGGGCATTGGAGATTCAAGTTGAGATAAATTGATGTTGAATGAATACCTTAATTAAGGGGGGAGACTTAACACTGAGCTCATACGTGAGGGAGAGATTGTTAAAATACACAAGTGATTTGTGTTAAAGAAGTTCGAATTATTGTGGTGTGAAGTAGTTAATATATTCAAATTAGCCCATGACTCATTTGCTTAAATTTTTGAATGAAGGTGGGTCTAATTAGATATATTGATAGGCTCGGACTTGGGCTCCGTCTTCACGATCTCCCTAGGTGAAGATAATCAAGCTTCCGTTGCGCACTCCCAACAATAACAATACATCACAAAGAGAATTGTTAATATCTTGGGAAAATATACACCATAGAATTTGTAGTTTGAGAAATGCAATATTTTTTTCTTCGAGAATTGATATATAGAATTTAATTGGTTTATTTTGGAATAAGGAGATTCAAAAACACAAGGAGTCCAGACACGTACTAATTTTTTTGTAACACCTGTTATACAAATTAACAACTTGAAGTCTTAGTTAGCATTACCAAATGTAGCTAATTCGATTAGATGCCAATCTAATATTTATTTAAGTCATTATTCTTGACAATGCATTACCTGGACGCATATTTTTCTCCAAGGCTTATTAGATACGTGGTACAGCCATATGTCATTTTGCATGTGGCACATAGTATGCTCTACGATCCTTAGTCTTGGATGGTCGTCCTATGTGGTATGGTCCATAATTATTCTAATTAAAATAAGCAAAACAATTACAGATGCAGAATTAGAGATTTGTTAGGATTAAAGATTTGCTAAAGTGATTATCAAAAACAACTCAAACGTCAACGCTTCACTATATATATATATAAAGCGGCAAAGCTTCGTATATTAAGAAATATGATTAAAACTTATACTTACCTAATGTCGTGATAAATTTTCATCTATTTTAATCTTATTAAACCTTTTCTTTCGTTGGACAATTGAAACTGTCGTCTCAACTGTTTTTTTCTGGGCCACAAAATCGTCATCTCACTTTTTTTTTTTTGGTCAAGAATTGTCATCTCACTTGGCTCGTAAGTATTAGTACGATTTTTCCACCTCTTTCCTTCGAGAGAACTGAGCAGCATAACTCTTCTTCTTTCGACAATTTTTCTTATGCTCAGTCCCGGAAGCAAAACTAGGATCATCAGACCATGAATTTTGGCTTCATCATCTTCCTCGCCCTCTTCTTCTTTCTCAATTTTCTCAGCAATTACAGTCATACTACAGAAGCTGCACCTACTTATATACAGCATGATTGCCCGGACACCACGCTCTTCGCTCCCAACTCCACCTACCAATCCAACCTCAACGCCCTCCTCTCTGCCCTCTCCTCCGCTGCCACCGACGACGCCGACGGTTTCGCCAACGCCACCGCCGGCAAAGACCCTCCCGACCGCGCCTATGGGCTCTTCCTCTGCCGTGGTGACGTCGGCGCTGCCACGTGCAGGGAGTGCGTGGCTAAGGGAACAGAAGACATCCTCCGACGATGCCCCGACAGGAGATCGTCCGTGATCTGGTACGATGAGTGCATGTTGAGGTACTCGGACCAGTCCGTTTACTCGGTGATGGAGACCGTACCTTTATGCCGGATGCCGGGGACGTCGCTGAACCAGATCGGTTCGTGAAGCTGCTAGGAGAGGCCATGAACGACGTGGCAGGGAGGGCTTCGGGCAGCGAATCGGGGAAGAAGTTTGTGGTCGCGGAGGCAAGCTTCACGAGCTCGCAGAAGCTATACGCACTTGCGCAGTGTATGTTGAGTTTTAAAGGCGTAACACTCAAAAGTGAAAGCCTCGATCGTCAATAACTCTCGTCGACAACTCTTGAAGGTGAATGCCTCGATCGTCGATAACTCTCGTCGACAACTCTCGAAGAAAAACACACAAGGAGAGGAGAGGAATAAACTATTTTATTATGACTTGATTCACCTTACAAATACTTCAACTGGACTTGCCTTTATATAGGCATAATACATGACTCTTGATATGACTCATAAATGACTATACATGTATCTGATATTAACTAGATATCAAAACACGAAAGGTCAAGACCAAATACAAACATCACATTAACTAGTCATTGAAATACGAAAGGTCAAGACCAAATACAAATAATCACATTAACTAGTCATTGAAATACAAAAGGTCAAGACTAATCACGAAAGATCTAGAGAGATAAGGCGGTGATATCTTCAATACTCCCCCTCACCGACTACTCTCTCTAGGGATAGTTCTAGCGACCATACCAAGCTGAGCTCGAAACTCTTCAAACTTTGCAGCTCCAAGACCTTTGGTGAAGATATCAGCAACTTGATCACCTGTCTTGGTGTACTCCATCTTGATCTCGCCCTCCAACACTTTCTCTCGCAGAAAGTGATAGTGGACTTCCACATGCTTAGTCCTAGCATGGAAAACTGGATTCTCTGCCAAGCTTATAGCGGATAGATTATCACAATACAATATTGTCGAATAATCTATCGACTGATGAAGATCATCTAATAACTGCACTAGCCACGTGCTCTCCTGAGCTGCCATTGCTGCTGCTCTGTATTCAGCTTCTGTTGTAGACAAAGACACAGTCGGCTGTCTTTTACTGCACCAGGATACTACTGCTGATCCAAGATGAAACGAGTATCCAGTAGTTGATCGCCGTGTGTGTTGATCTCCACCATAGTCGGCATCACAATGACCGACCAACTCACCTGATGATTCTTTTTTATACAAAAGCCCAAAATCAAAAGTCTTCTTTACATACCTCAGGATACGCTTGGCTGCATCCAAGTGAGGCTTCCTTGGCTTCTCCATGAATCGACTCACTACTCCCACTGCAAAAGCGATGTCAGGCCGAGTTATGGTAAGGTAGATTAGACTACCTACCAGTTGCCTATACATAGACGAATCTTCTAGCTCTCGACCTTCTTCAGCACATAGCTTTGCGTTCCCATCCAACGGAGTAGATATAGGTTTGCAATCGAGCATCCCGAATTTTTTCAAGAGATCTCGTGCATACTTCTGTTGACATAGGAATAATTCTTCTTTTGTCCTATCAACCTCGAGCCCCAGAAAGTGTTTCAGCTCTCCAAGCTCCTTCATCTGGAACCGCACAGAGAGGTTGGCTCTAATTTGACATATCCCATCTTCATCATCTCCAGTAATGATGAGATCATCCACATAAACCAGCACAGCTGCAACCTTTCCATCTTCTGCCTTCACGAACAGGCTCGAGTCTGCTGGAGCTACATTATAACCGCTCTTCAACAAGAATTCTGCAATCTTTCCATACCACGCTCTCGGGGCTTGCTTTAAGCCATACAACGCTTTCTTTAGCTTGCAGACATATTCTGGATAAGTTTTGCTCTTGAAACCATCCGGTGCTCCATGTATATCTCTCGCTCAAGTTCTCCATGCGGGAAAGCATTCTTCACATCCATCGCCACACATTCCACGACTTGCTTCTTGCAAGTGCTAATAGAACTCGAACTGTGGTAACCTTTGCTACCGGGCTAAAGGTCTCTTCATAATCAACCCCATATTTTTGCGAAAAACCTCGAGCCACTAGACGTGCTTTATACCTCTCAATCGATCCGTCTGGTCGAGTTTTAAGTTTATAAACCCATTTGCAGGAAATAGGACGTACCTTTTCAGGTTTCGGTACCAGGTCCCACGTCTCATTCTTCTTTAGTGCGAGGATTTCTTCTTCCATGGCCTTCCTCCATTCTGTTCCCTTCGAGGCTTCTTCATATGTCGAAGGCTCGACCATGCCAACATCTACGGTTAATGCCGCATTGGCATACTTGGGGTTTGGCTTCCTTTGCCTCGTTGATCTCCGAAGTTGAGGCTCCTCCTCTTCAAGTTCTTCGACCTGACTTGGTCGAAGTTCTTCTGTCGACCTTGGACGCTCATCAAATGAACTTGTCGATCCTGGTGACTGTGTGTCGACATCTTTTTCAACAGGCTGATTCTCATCGAATTCTTTTAGCCTTTCTTCAACCTCTTCGTCGAAATGCTGTGAATTTGGCAATTCAACAGCTTGAGGTGACCACCAAGACGACAATTCGTCGAACACCACATTCCTTGAAGTATAGCACCTCCCTGTTGTAGGGTCGCAGCACTTCCACCCCTTTCGTTGATCATCATATCCCACGAATATGCAGCGAACCGCCTTCTTGTCGAATTTGCTGCGAAGATGATCAGGCACAAATGCATAACATACGCATCCGAAAACTCTAAAGTGACTTACCACAGGCTTGCGATTCCATAGCTTCTCGTATGGTGACATAAAACCAAGCCTTGCTTGTGGCAGCCTGTTAATCACGTGAGCCGTCGTCTTCATACATTCGGCCCAAAACCTCGGTGGAACATTCTTCGCGTGCAACATGCTCCTGCATGTTTCAGCTAGGTGCCGATTCTTTCTTTCGGCAACACCGTTCTGCTGCGGCGTATACGGACAAGTATACTGTCGACGTATCTTGCACTCTTGCAAATATTTCGTGAACTCGTAGGAAGTGTATTCTCCCCCGTTATCGGTGCGTAGGCAATGGATTTTTCTGCCTACTTCACTTTCAACCTTCTCCTTAAACACTTTAAATTTAATAAACGCCTCGGATTTTTCCCTCATGAAAACAACCCAGACATACCTTGAGAAGTCGTCGATGAAAGTGATCATATACTTGAATCCGCTAACAGACGACTGCTTCACTGGACCAAACACATCCGAGTGAACGAGCTCGAGAGGCATCCGAGTTTTGAACGATGATTCCTCATATGGAAGTTGATGTGCCTTCCCATACTGGCACCCGGCACAAATCACATCTTCTTGCACTTCCAAATGGGGAAGACCCCTCAGCATGTTCTTCTGCATCATCACCTTCAACTTGTGATAACTTACATGCCCAAGCCGCGCATGCCATAAATCAGGTGTATCATTCCTTCGAGTTTTGTTTACATATGCCGTTTGAGCAGACATCACGTAAACGGACTCCAGCCGACGTCCCTCCATGATTGGTCGACCAGTGGGCTTCACACTTCGGTACACCTTAACATCTCGTGGACCGAACACCACATAATTACCCGAGTCTGTGAGCTGGGACACAGACAATAAATTCTTCTTCATTCCCGGCACGTGATACACACTTTTCAATTCAACTAGCTGTGAATGGAATCGAGGAGTTATCATCGTCTTGCCGATATGAGTAATCGGCAACCTCGAGCCGTCTGCAGTAATAACAACACGTCCTCCGGTATATTCACGCATGTTCGACAGCTTGCCTTGATCTCCAGTCATATGACTCGAACACCCTGAATCAACAATCCAGTCGAAATCATAATTAATCGACTTTTCACTTACGAGAGATTAATGCCATCGCATCGTTTGACTTGAATGTGGAAGAGGCGCGAGCTCGTCGATACCACCATTGCAACGAGACGATTGGAAATCCCATTCCTCATCTTCATCGAAATCATTCTTCTTCGATGATGCTGCGACATTTCCTTCAACTTTCTTCGCTCGACAATCTCTGGCAAAGTGGCCCTCCTTGCTGCAGACGTAACATCGTCCACTACGTCTTTTGCCATCGCCCCGCCAGGCTCCCCTTGGTCGAAGACTCGTCTCTCCTAGACGCTTTTGCCATTCTTCACGAGCTGGTTGCTTTTGCCATTCGACATGGCTTTTCCTTGACTTGCCATCTTTATTGTCAGCACCGGTTCGCCTCTGACCCTTGAACCCTCTTTTATCACTGAAGAGGGCACTTTCTTCTCTCTTAATCGAAACTTTAGACATTTGACTATCTAAAGTCTCTTGGTTAGCCAGAATACTCTCCAGATCGGTCAACGTCGGTTGAGTTGCCCATCCACGAGTAGCCGTAATAATACCATTATACTCCGGCTTTAACCCGTGAATAATAATTCTTCTCATTCTTGTTTCTGAGATGGCATTAGTGGGATCCAACTTTGAAATTTCGTCACAAATAGACTTAACTTTGGAGAAATACTGACTCACCGTCATATTTTGTTGTGACATCGACAGCAGCTCGTTTTCCAGCCTTTGTAGCTTGGCATCATTCGACCTTGCGAATAGCGCTGCCAAGTTATCCCATGCCTCTTTTGGAGTCCTCGCGCTCTTTATGTGCTGCATTAATTCATCTTCAACAGTCACAGAAAGAGCATAAAGAGCTTTACCCGCTTTGATGTTCCATCTCCTTAACTCGCCATCGTTCGTAGGTGGTGTGGTGTTACCCCCGCCAACGATATCCCACAAATCTTGTCCCAGCAAGTAAAATTGCATGCGGGAACTCCAATTATTATAATTGGAGCTGTTGAGCTTCTCGACCCCGTTCATCGAACTTGAAATATCCGCCATCGAACTTGGATATAATGCCTGGCACTACACCAATTCAGCTTGGTCCCAGACCAATGAATCACAGTCCCTGTCTTTGCAATGACAGAATTTCGGCGTTCTCTGGTCCCTGACCGGTTGCTCACGTACAACGGTCCCCGGCTCTTGGGCTCTGATACCACTTGTTGAGTTTTAAAGGCGTAACACTCAAAAGTGAAAGCCTCGATCGTCAATAACTCTCGTCGACAACTCTTGAAGGTGAATGCCTCGATCGTCGATAACTCTCGTCGACAACTCTCGAAGAAAAACACACAAGGAGAGGAGAGGAATAAACTATTTTATTATGACTTGATTCACCTTACAAATACTTCAACTGGGCTTGCCTTTATATAGGCATAATACATGACTCTTGATATGACTCATAAATGACTATACATGTATATGATATTAACTAGATATCGAAACACGAAAGGTCAAGACCAAATACAAACATCACATTAACTAGTCATTGAAATACGAAAGGTCAAGACCAAATACAAACAATCACATTAACTAGTCATTGAAATACGAAAGGTCAAGACTAATCACGAAAGATCTAGAGAGATAAGGCGGTGATATCTTCAATAGTGTACATCGGACTTGACGGGCTCGGACTGTAACACGTGCCTCCGGGCGGTGATAGCAAGTCTACCTCAGGGGAAGCGAGGAGGGAGGTCGTTCACTCCGACCTGCGGAGTAAGGTTCGAGCTGTACCCCTTTTATAATGCCTCGGCCGTGGCGGTGGTGCCCCTGCTTCCTTCTCCTCCTCCTGCTCCGGTGAACGAACCCAAAGGTACGTGTTTGATTGAATCGAGGAGATGGATTTAGCCATGAAAGCTCAATGAAAGTTATATTTGTTCATAGATTGTGGTGGTGATTTATGTCCATCCTGACCTGTATTGTTAGTATCCGGTAGATAAATTTCTGTCCAGCTATTCTTATTGTAATATTTTTGGGACGAATGTGGTTGTATTTGCTGGTTAGGACTTTTGATAAGAGTTTTCGTTATTGAATCACATAAATGATTTAATTAATAAAATTCCGTAAGGACTTGTATTGCAATCAAATAAAGAAAGTTTATAATTTTAAATGCACTAATTTTTGTTGTATTATACTAATTAGTTGTTTATATATATATATTTATTGCTTTATTCAAGTCTTTGGTCCCATAAAGTCAAGATGAGGTACATTTTAGGTGAAAACTTTCCTAAGTGGATCAGGCAATTGTCTTAATCTCATGGTACATTCCAATGGACTTTCAGTCAAGTTAGTCGCTTATACCAAATTTATAATTGGTGCTATCCTAAGATATAAGAATTAGAACAGGAAAAACATAATGTGAGATGGACAGATAATGGAGGACCACATTACTCTTCTAGACATTTCCTCTTGAAGCAGGACGTTTTTTACAAGATAAAATCCCATGCCTGCAGATAGCAGAATCGTTTATTTAAATAAGTCTGTACTGATTTTGAATCTGTTTCTTAGATTTGCTCCGACCTGTAGGAGCAAATTAGCAATTAAAATTTCTAAAATATAATGCACTCCTATGAGATGGTTGCATATATGCAGGCAAAAGCAACAAATCGACCACGATAATCATTGCCGTGGCCATCCCGGTTGGCGTTGCTATTGTTGAGTTTTAAAGGCGTAACACTCAAAAGTGAAAGCCTCGATCGTCAATAACTCTCGTCGACAACTCTTGAAGGTGAATGCCTCGATCGTCGATAACTCTCGTCGACAACTCTCGAAGAAAAACACACAAGGAGAGGAGAGGAATAAACTATTTTATTATGACTTGATTCACCTTACAAATACTTCAACTGGACTTGCCTTTATATAGGCATAATACATGACTCTTGATATGACTCATAAATGACTATACATGTATATGATATTAACTAGATATCGAAACACGAAAGGTCAAGACCAAATACAAACATCACATTAACTAGTCATTGAAATACGAAAGGTCAAGACCAAATACAAACAATCACATTAACTAGTCATTGAAATACGAAAGGTCAAGACTAATCACGAAAGATCTAGAGAGATAAGGCGGTGATATCTTCAATAGCTATTGTACTTGTCTTTCTTGCTTGCTGTTGGCGTCGGAGTAAAACAACAAAGACGTATGAAGTTGTCCAAGCAGAAGGGGGTACATGAATACGCGCATGCATATGCCTTATACTCGCACAGAATTTCAAAACTGTGTACACGAGATACACTTTTCTATGCTTTTTGTGAATGACTATCTCCTGTTGTTTCGTGGTGTAGGCTCAAGTGAAATTACAACTGCAGAGTCCTTGCAATACCATTTAGCTATGATACAAGCTGCCGCAAACAATTTCTCTCATCGAAACAAGTTGGGTCAGGGCGGATTCGGTGAAGTTTTCCGGGTATTATTAGTTAGAAATATTGATATATGCTTTATAAAAAATCTTTGAATATCGTTGATGTTTGTTATGTGAAGTTGTGGTCAGAAGCTATTCGTGTGTAGTCAAGCAACCAAATTAAAAATTTTCAGGGCAGGCTTCCAAATGGACAAGAAATAGCTGTGAAGAGGCTATCTAAAAGCTCCGGACAAGGTGTTGGAGAATTCAAAAATGAGGTTGCTTTGGTAGCGAAGCTTCAACATCGAAACCTTGTGCGGCTGCTTGGGTTTTGCTTAGAGGGAGAAGAGAAGATACTTGTCTATGAGTTCGTGTCAAACAAGAGTCTCGACTACTTTTTATTTGGTACACCACAACCTTCAATAGACTCTGAAGTTGTCATTTTCCACGTGGAAGAAACTATATGAGTGATTAGCATAAACTTAGAGTTGAAACACTCACTAGCTTCTGGAGAACATGATGAAAGTTCTTTGAGGATTTACCAACTAAGAATAATTGGGTTCTAATTGTGTAACTATGCAGATCCTGATAAGAGAAAGCAATTGGATTGGTCAATACGTTATAAGATAATATCTGGAATTGCTCGAGGAATGCTTTATCTGCACGAAGATTCTAGACTCCGAATCATTCATCGTGATCTAAAACCAAGTAATATCCTATTAGACAGTGATATGAACCCGAAGATTTCAGATTTCGCAATGGCTAGGATTTTCGGAGTTGATCAAACTCATGCAAACACTAACAAAATTGTGGGGACCTTGTAAGTCTCAAATTCTTTCTTAGATGAATGATAATTTCTTGTTTATATGATCTATCTTATGGTTGATCTATGAATTAGAAACAACACCATGTTCATCTATGGCCAATTCATAATATATTCATCAGTGTGGTTCATTCGCAAGTTGCTCATTTTATCAACTTATAATTACATAATGGATGCTACCACCAATGTATTTTTGTTTGAATTGGTTACTTGTCTCCTGAGTATGAAATGCGTGGGCAAATCTCAGAGAAGTCTGATGTCTATAGTTTCGGTGTCCTAATCCTAGAGATCATTAGTGGCAAGAAGAATAGCTGCTTCTTCCAATCAGACGGGGGTGAAAATCTCGCTAGCTTTGTAAGTTGCATATGTGCTATTGCGACATATAATACGCTGCACCAATCTAATTAAGTTGAATTTCCTCCACTGAAATAATTTTACAGGAGTGGAAGAATTGGAGAGCCGGTACACCGCTCGAATTGTTAGATCCGTTCATTGGTGACATATATTCAATAGATGAAGTGCTTAGATGCCTCCACATTGGTTTACTAGGCGTTCAGGAAGATCCAGCTGATAGACCCACCATGGCAAGCATAATCCTTATGTTGAGCAGCCACTCTACTAAGCTTCCAAAGCCTCGACAACCGGCCTTCTTCCTCCAAAGGAGCACGGAGAGACAGTCGAAAGAGCTTGAGCTGGACGAATCCACCAGTAGGTCTATGCCGTGGTCGATCAATGAAATGTCAGTTACTGAAGTGGGCCCTCGGTGAATCGTGATGTGAGTGAAAGTCTTTCTTCACGATAGTCTCTCAGAGACCTTGAGATCCGTGGCCTTCCACAGATTAATGAACAATAAAAAACACCTATGTTTTTCGAAACTAGGTTGCTAGCTGCCATGGGATCATGCGCATGATGTATATAGCGGCTTCTCATGTTGAGGAAATAACACGACTGCGCCAAATTGTTAGGTTCTTCCTTCGAATGTGTGTGTTTTCAGTCAATATCATTTAAGTGTGGGCGATGGAGTACTCAGCGCACCAAGGGATCCCCTCTGTGATGTCCACCATCTCTCTTTTATTGAGACCATGTGTTCTCAATCTCTAGAATTTTGGACTAAATGGATGAATTTTGGCAGTGGAGAATATTTCCTCATCCTCTTCTGTAAAAGTGGAGTCGTGGGGTCTTCCTTCACTCTCTACTCTCAGTCTCTTTTGTGCCCCCGTGTCAGTGCTGTCGGTGAAATACTTAAAGAGAGATAGAATGAGAGACCGAGTGAAGTTTTACTGAATTCCTATTTTAGCTCAAGTATATATTAACTCTCACGTCTTAGGAAATTAATCATCTTCATATAATTAAAATTCGTAAGGGTAATAACTTTATATCCTCCAGCTTTGATGAGATGTTGCAATTTTTCCTCGTTTGGCACTCCACATGTGCCATGCACATGTTGATTGGGTTCTTCTCTGTGGGACCTAACGAACATTAAAAGAAAAAGGAAAAGTCAAACAAAAAGAAAGAAAGAGAGAGGAGAGGAGAGAGCGAGGATCTGAAAAGTGGGCCATTATGACCACGTGCCCATCTCTAGATTGTTCAATGCACATCTTACGTGGAGTGTTAAATACACCCAATATTTTCTCCTTTATTATTAGAGATTTTAGCCGTGGCCTCCAATGAGTTGAAGTAGGTCAACAAGATACTCTATGAACGGCAAGTGCTCCAATAGCTTTTCAAAATGATGGGGCCCACATTGGACATGTGTCGCCATGTGAATGGACTATTGCATGGAAGAGGTGGCACCGCACTTGTATGTAATATTTTCTCGATCCTAGTCGATGATCAATCTTTGAACCCGCCTCAGAAAGTTCAGAGCTCGAAAGGTTGCAAGGCGCTCTCTATCACTGTCACCATCACTCGAAACTGAGATATTAAAGTTACATGCATCTCGACTTCTGTTGGTCAAGTCCTCCCACTCAAGGAGAGAATGCAGGCACACGCAATCGACCTTGACCAATGACCCTTGTACAAGGACAAAAAGGCGACCATCCTCACCGTTCATCTTCTTCCCTTTCCCCACCCGAATCATAATGGCCTAACCAACATTTTTGGGTCAATCCAATATGTGACATTTTATCTTCCAAAGTTTATCGATCAATGAATGCAGCAAAATCAACACAAAATTTTCGAGCCCCATCTCTGTCTCTATCTCTCCACCTCTACCGTGGCTCACACGGCCCTTGCCTCACTGTCATGCCTCGCCACTATCAGCAATCGCTTCCCCGTTGCATGGGCCCATCTTTCCGCGAGCTCGCCTCTCTATTACAAATGGAGGAGGGTGGTGATATTTTCCGTGGAACTGAGGAAGAAGCGAAGGAAAATGTAAACCGGAAAGAAAAGGAAAATGAAATGCTTAAGTGACAGTTTTTAATCTACTGTGAGATTAACAAACATATTTTGAATAAAAATAAATAAATAATAAATAATTATAAATTTTTATGGAGTCCACTCTTTTAAGAAATTGTGACTCATAACATGCTCTTACTCTCACTATGGCTCAAAAGACTATTACATTAACAAAACCCAAAAGGAAAGAAAGAAATAATATATATATATATATATATATATGGGAAGAATAAATTCAGACCATTCTTTTCTTTATGTTAATATGTCATCTTCTCAATGCAGCAAACTCAAATCGTCTTAGTGTGAAGTTGGGCAAATTACCAAAAAAGTGCTAAATCTATTGGATTTGTGCTAATTTAGTCCTAAACCTTTCAATTGTGCCAATTAATTCTTAAACCTTTTTACATTTTGCCAATTGAATCCATCTGGTCAATTTTGATCGAAAATCGCTAATGTAGACACTGAACCATCTTACATGGCACAGGGGGCGCTGATGTTGACATTTTTTAAATAATTTTTTAATTTTCTTTATAAATTTTTTGGTTTTTTTTTCTTTATTTTTTTTTACTAAGGGCCAGCAACCCTCCCACAATCGAGGGCCAAGATGAGGGTTGCAACAGCCTCACTAGGCCCACCTAGATAAACTATTCGGTGTTTGGTGACATTCTCCAAATTAGATAAACTCTGATACATCTAGATAAAATGGCGGATAAGATATTCGGCATAGGGGATGGGATGAGCCCATTGGATATAAAATTTCAAAAATTAACTTAATAAGGGCTCACCACCTCATCCGTCGCGCTCTCTCTTTCTTAGTCAGTTTTCTAGCTTTTCCACCATCACCAAATCCTCCCTCGATTCCTCTCTCCACTTCACCTCTGATTACTCATTCTCGGCCTCCATTGTTCCACAGTCTCTCTCTTGATCAACTATGAACTAGGCGTTCATCAAGTATTTGATGAAACGCTAAAGAGAGATCTTCCTTGACTTCAGTTCAGAATTTTGCTTAATAGAAGAGATCATCCTCCATTTCGCTCTGTAGTTCGAGCATCAAGTTCCACCTATTGTGCATGAGGAATGCCGAAATGGCATCGTGTTGCAGAACCTCCTTTTGCAGGCCCACCCACAATGCACCCCTTCTCTATTGTTGCCTCCCTTAGCTCCTCCAGGATGGTGCTGCCACTTTCTTCGGCAATGGAGTCCATCCACATGACCCACAGGAAGTTCCTCTAACTGATCACAAGGTCATACCAGAACTCTATGAGGTCGTGTTGGTTGAAAGTCATCAAGCTCTCGAGGTCAATTTCCTAGAGAGATTGCTTGTTAATGATAGTGATCGAGAGGGTTTGAGTCGTCAATACTATCTTAGATTGCAGATTTTTAAATATTTCAAGTCCTATCTTAAATTGCACAAAATATATAGTGGGATACTTTTACAATCCGGAGGATATTATGAGGATTTCAAATCCATCTTTATTATATCATATCCCTATTCTAATTTTAATTTCAATCCAGACATCCAAATACAGCCTTAAGATTTAATGACTGAAATGAAATATCCTTGCGTGCTCTCTAGAAGAGTGTTCATACTTTTCCTCTCGCAGTCTCCACGTTGGAGCAAATGGGAATGCAAGCTCGCATAAATTGACTTTAATCAATGACCTCGTACGAGGCCAATTGCTGTCTTCCATCTTCACCACCATCCATCTTATTCCTCTGTCCCCATGAATATGAATGGCCTGAACCACCCAGTTCCTGTCGCTTTAACACTGCGCAATGGACTTTAACTGTATTAGAAAATCTCTCACCGGTTTGTCCTAACTTGTCAAAAATCTCATTTGACCTTCCCGTAGAAAGAAAAAAAAATGCTATAGTTTTTCACGATTTAAGATATTAATTTCTATAAGATTTAAAACGGTTAAATATGTCATATGGAATGAAATTTCAAAATTTTAAATGTTCAAAACTCGATCTTCGAATTTGAATTTGCAGTGGTACGCCTTGCATCAACTTGTCAAGAAAAAGAAAATTGATAGTTCACCCCCACTCCTTTGCCGCAAGCCCAATCAAATTCATCAAACTAGCCTAATCATGAATTCTTGCTTCACCATCTCCCTCTCTCTCCTCCTCCTCCTTCTTCGTCAAGATTTTCGGTACTGAAGCTGCACCTAATTACATAGATCATGATTGTCCAAACACCACCCTCTTCACTCCCAACTCCACCTACCAATCCAACCTCCACACCCTCCTCTCTTCCCTCTCCTTCACCGCCACCAACAGCACCGGCGGCTTCGCCAACGCCAACGCAGGCCAAAACCCTCCCGATCGGGCCTACGGGCTCTTCCTCTGCCGCGGCGACCTTGACATCGTCGCGTGCAGCAACTGCGTGGCCACTGGAAAGCAGGATATCCTCCAAAGATGCCCCAACCAGCGGGTCTCCGTTATCTGGTACAAAGAGTGCATGCTGCGGTACTCAAACCGGTCCATCTTCTCGGCCATGGAAGAAACGCTGTCTCCCCTTCTGTACGATGGGAACGTCGTGGACCCAATCCGGTTCATGCAGGTCCTGTTAGAAACCCTGAGCGACGTCGTCGCGAGGGCTTCATCTGGCGGGTCGGGGAAGAAGGTCGCGGTGGCGGAGGCGAACGTCACGAGCCCGCAGAAACCGTACGCACTCGCACAGTGCACGCCGGACTTGAGGGCGTCCGACTGTTGCACGTGCCTCCAGTTCGGTATCGCTAATCTGCCTCGGGGGAAGTAAGGGGGAAGCTTGCTCACTCCGAGCTGCAACGTGACGTACCAGCTCTACCCCTTTTATAACGCCTCGGCTCTGCCGGCACCAGCACGGACACCAGCGGCGCCGCCTCCCGCTCCGGTGACCGGACCTGAAGGTAAATGTGTGTTTCTACTGCTTAGCTTCGTCTGTCCTAACTCTGCTTCTTTATTATATCGAAGAAGACGTGCATTTAGTCCCAGTGGGTTAGTTTTTTCAGCCATTACATGCCATGTTTAAAGATACAAGCTGCCTTTAATTGATTCACTTATTATTAAACATCAAGTCAATTTTTTCAACTTGTTTTCTGGACAAAACATAAAAAAAGTGGTTTATTTTCTCCAAAATTGAATTTCCTGAAAACATTTCCTGTGACAAGAAGACGTTTAATTTCTTCACATTTGCTCTTTAAGCGAGCTCTTTTTGTTTTTCTCTGTTTTTTATTTTACATTTGCTCTGGTCTATGGTAGCAATTTCAGTTTCTAAATTCTCATTAAGTCATAAACAACACATGTGCTGATGCTGTTAAGATATGGTTGCACATATGTAGGCAACACTACAAAAAAACAAGAGTTTTCCAACGAATTTTCCAACGAAAAATTTGGCAAAATTCGTTGGAAAACGAATTTCCAACGAAATTAACGACGAAAAAAAATTCGTTGGTAATTCGTCGTCGCAAATTTTTGCGACAAAAAATTTAAATTTTAGTTGGTAATTTGCAACGAAATTTTTTCGTTGGAAAAATTCGTTGGAAAATTCGTGGCAAAATTCGTTGGAAAGTTCGTTGGAAGTTCATTGGAAAATTCGTTGGTAATTATTCGTTGGAAAAAACGTGGCAAAATTCGTTGGTAATTATTCGTGGCAAAACGAATTTCCAACGAAAAACTATTCGTCGGTAATTCGGCGTTGGAAATTTTTGCGACAAAAAATTTTAATATTTCGTTGGTAAATTCCGTCGCAAAA